TTGTTAAGTTAAACAATTTGGTGAATATTAGGCTATTTGCGTCCATTAGGTAAAACTTAAGCTTATCACAAACCTTACACGTGGGGAGTGTTTTTTCTCTAATATCCTTTCGCCGAGTACACCATTTCGTCCCAGCTTCGTATTCCTCAATCTCCATCCCAAGAAAGTTAATCGGTCGACATTATCTTTGTGGAATAGTTGCCAAAGTACGAGAATGCATCCCAGAGAAAAAGGGAAATGAACGCCTGTGCTATCGTCTCTTCTCTTTGGTTATTTACTTCGGATTTCTGTGTTGCAAGTACGTGACTTTATATATACCTATTTATAAAATAAATTAAATAGCACGCACGCTGTGATTGGTTGATAGCCATGTTTGCATGAGGGTATGTAAACACAGTTGTGACGTCACAACTTCGTTTTTCCCGTTACAACTTCATTGCTGCCATTGTGGTGCCGTTCACAATGGGTGCTAATGAGAAATCTTTTGTTAAATGGCACCACCATCGAAGAATTTCTTTCGAGGAAAAAAATGCCGCAGAGAAATTCATTTTGAAGACGAAGGTCCAGGTGTCAGGTAGTCTCCCCCACAGCCGCTCTCAGTGTCGTCACGCAACGCTTTCTCCCGAGAAAGCGTTGCGTGACGACACTGAAAGCGGCTGTGGGGGAGACTAGGTGTCAGGGCCACAGGCATAACACTATGGTCTCCAGCAGGTCATATCATGACAATCTCTGGTCACCGCAACAAGAATTCCCTCAGGAGCTACAACAAACGTTCTTCGTCAGGACAGCTTCGGTTGTGCAGCGACGTGCTTTTCTTAAGAAATAGAAAACGCGCGCGCGTGCTGTGTGCTGTGTTCTGCCAATCCCCAAGTGCTTTATGACTGCACACAGCACAACAAGCAAGTTTTTTATTTCTTTTATAAAACACAAATTACAATAATAGATAGGAATGACGCAACGGAAAGTGCGCGCGCGTGCAATGTGCTCTCATAAAGCACGCGCTCCAAACCAATCAGAACGCGACATTCATAACAGTTATTTTATAATATGCTTTAAATGCACCGCCGATAAGGAAATACACGTTTTTTCAAGGAAACAGTCAGCGGCTTCAAAGCTTCTTCCAGCGATAGCTCCTCAGCTCCACAAAATATTTTCTCGAGGCAAGACGAAACAATCAACTTCGCTGCCATGTTTTCTGGCTGTCAAATTGAGCAAGTCCACGTTTCTTTCAACCGAGAATTCCAGTCACAGTGACACCCAGTTATCTACTTTTGATCACTTTCGTAAAGATAATCAATGCTGAAATCTTTTCTTAAGATTTCTATTCAATCCTTGAACATTTCTTTGTATTTATTTTAAAGTTTTAGAATTATTTTTTGAAAAACCTGGGGGGGGGG